TAGTAGAGATGGAGTTTTACCATGTTGGCAAGAATGGTCTCAATCTCCTGACCTCTTGATTCGCCTACCTTGACCTCCCAAAGTGCTGGGATTACAGGTGTGAGCCACCGCACCCCACCTGAATCCCTTTTTTTATATTGGTTGCAAGGAAAACAAAATTTTAGTAATGTTTTTCAACCCAGTGGGAGGTGAAGGCACTTACTATATAGCTGTTACCATACCTCACCTTCTGAATGCCTGATGAGAGATTTGATGTCAAGCTGACCAATTGAGACAGGTCAACATGGCAGATTCGAGAATTGAGATGAGTGGTTCATAGAAGAGGATCTTATCCCAATTTTCTCCTGCTTGTAAGCTTTAAAGTTTTTACTAATCAGTATAAGGAAGAAAAAATAAAAAGAAGTACAAGCCAAGAAAACACTAATTGGAAAAACAGGCAGATTGCTATGTGCATGTGATACTATAAACCAGTGGTTGGCAAATTTATTTCGTAAAGGGCCAAATAATAAATATTTTAGACTTACTGGACATATTATTTCTATGGCAGCTATTCATCTCTGCCATTGTAATATAAAAGCAGCCATAGAAGATACGAAAATGAATGAACATGCCCACATTTGAATAAAATTGATGAATGCTAAAATTTGAATTTCATATAATGTGCATGTGTCATTTATTCTTTTTTTGATTATTTTAACCACTTAAAAATGTAAAAATCATTCTTAGCTCCCAGGGCCACACAAAAACAGGCATTAGACTGGCTTTGGCCTGTGGAGAATAGGTGTTGATTCTTGCTATAGATGCTGGTCTTATACGTGGCTATAAAGTGGTGGAACTGGTCCTTTCATTTGCCCTAGTCCACTATTAACTTCATTTTTGTTACTGTTAACTTAATTAAACATTATTTACTAGTGTAGCTTCAAGAAAGCATATGTCATCTCTCTCAAAATTAGAGAAAAAGATAGAAAGCTTTGCATTAAAATGAATAAGCAGTGATTTTGAAAAATATAAATATGTACGGATTATTTGGCTAGGGAAACTAATGCAACATTTTGTTCTCTTTCCTGTTCTTTCTTATATTACAAGTATCACTATTCTGTTGTAATTAATATTTTTAGATATCATTAATTACAAAATTATAAAAATAGATCACATCGTCACAAAATAATTTACACAGATAATTTAAAATATTTGAATATCTGGTTACATACCACCAGGTTTCCAATGACCATGACCATCATGTAAACAATAAGGCACATAGCTTGACCAGCGACCTCCATACAGTCCCACATGGTCTCTATCCACTCTCCACATAGCACACGGAACACAATCAGGAAGGAGTGGAAGAAGTCGTTCATGTGCCACCGTGGGAGCGTACAGTCATCATTGATCTTGCAGACACATTCTTTGTAGCTCTTACCAAAGAGCTGCATGCCGACCACAGCAAAAATGAAGACGATGATGGCCAACACCAAGGTGAGGTTTCCTAGAGCCCCTACGGAGTTACCAATGATCTTAATCAGCATGTTCAATGTTGGCCAGGATTTTGCCAACTTGAAGACTCGAAGCTAAAAGCAAATATAAAATTTCATATTAATCATTGTGAAAATGTTTCAGTGTTTCCAATCATGATTTTTGGTCAAAGTTTAAATCAGTCTTTAAGTCCTGTATTATTGTCATTATTATTTGGCTAAAATCAATTATTTTTATTTTGCATTTTCATCTATTTTCAGTATGCTGTTATTTTGTTCTACTTGCCATAAGACAATTACAACACATATTATGAAGAAAGTATATATTTTCAGTTCAGGATTGCTTTAGAAGTCTTTTATTATAGTTTATTATTTCTTTTAGAATTGATAATGTATCCTTAATTCCGTTTTCTAATACTTTTATACATTTAGATAAAATCCAGCATATTAGAAAGCTGTGCTTTAAAAAGTCTTTATTTGTTTTTGTACTATGATTAGACAACAACTGTTTTGGGGAATAACAATTTGATCTTTAATTAAAAAATCCATAAAGTTATGAGCATATAATAGTTGAAACTCTGTAAGCCATAAGCTTCTTACTGTGAAATAAATTATTACACTATATTAGTATAATAAAAATGTTTCTATTATATTAGCAGGTACTTCAAATTAGAATTGAGCATGTCTTCAAAAATTGTAAAATTAAAATATTCATGTGGTTTTAGTTCTTCAAAATCTATACATTTATCAATGAATGGATTTTATTTTACTAGATACAGATATCAAGATTAATCTTACCTTTTGAGTCAAATTCCCAAAAGTTTTAAATAATAATGCAAACCAAAGAAACACTCCTTTATTATAGAACATAACGGTAACATTAGTTAGTTTACCAGTCTGAATGATCGTAGAACTGATAATCCTTCCACATCTGCTAGAAAGAGCTCCACTAAACTTAAAGTCACAATAAGGCTGTCAAAAATATTCCAGCCTACTTGGAAATACTCATATGGATCCATGGCAATCAGTTTTAATACCATTTCAGCTGCAAAGATTCCAGTAAAGACCTAAGTGAGAAATATAATGTTTTTCTGTTCATATTAGCAAGTAGGGAATCAATACACAATGATAATAATCAGTTTGCTTAGCATTTATTGTGTTCCAGACAATTTTCTAAATACTTTATAAATGGATGTTCTTATCTAACTTAATCCTATAAACTAGGTATCGCTCTTTCCATGGCTCTCATATAAGCATCAAAATGTTGAGAAACTCTAACTCTCCTGTCAGTGCTCATAATTTTCAGACAGCATTTTAGAAGAGCATATTAAGATTTCAGAAAAGTAAAACCTTTTATTATTGACACAGTCACTATTTTCAAAGAATTTATGTGGGTCAAAAGTTGTGCTAGAGGAAGATAGAAAGAAAACATAATTTGTTACTGAAATTTTGAGCCAGTCTTTTTTTTCTGATCTGACAACTGTTAGAGTAATAAAGAACATGTTGACTCACTCTTTAAAGATTTATCAGCAGAAGAGAAAAAAGAATTTAATTGACATTGTGGCAGCTAAAGTAAGACTTCTAAAGCTTTGACACAAAAGTGCATTGTAAAATATCATTAATTCATGATGCTGGTATCAAAGGACTCACTTAAAAAAGAAACAGTGAAAGACTTGTTTATGGATCCTTTGGGTGCACTTTGACTCAAGAAATCTGACCAAAGAAGTTTCTAAGGGAAATGTTTAGGTCTATAATGGTAGGAGACAATTTTCAAATAATACAGGATCAAGATGATTGGCAGGGAGCAGCTGGATTGAGGTTGTGGTAATAGCTGTGAATGAGTAAATCCTTTCTGAGTTCACAGGGATGCCGTCATCTCAGTGAGAAGGTACTTATTTGCATGATCCGGACCTCCACCAACAATTAGAAACTTTGCCTTTCTCCAAAGATGAGTTGAAGGGAGGAAGAATGCTAACTCAGAGAGTACATGGGGGAAAACATTCTAACTTGGAATATTTGTAGACAATTTAGAAGGGAAGATAGACCAAGAAAAGAACTTCGGGTCTCCAACGATCAGTTGGTTTGGGACCACAGCAAAAGTAAAATTATCTTATATAGGCATTGACAAAGATACCCAGAGTTATTCATGATTTATGAAGAGCCTATAAACTGGGATTCTCTGGCCCTTATAAAGAGCAGGTGCCTGCCTCACATCTATAATCAAACTCTGGCTTTGTTTACCATGAGTTAATGTGACTAGCACTGCACATTTCAGAGATTGCTCTGGCATCAATTTTCCTAATTGGATCTTAAATCTTCTAGAAGCCTGTCGATCACCTTTTCACCTATCTTTGAGTCTTCTATGTCCAGTTCAACCATTCTGGTTTCTCAAAATTGTTTTTTTTAAAGCTTGTTTCATTGAGTTATTGAAATTGTGATGATAATGATGTTGATGATAGCTTTAATTTGTTGTGTACTTACTATATGCCAGGCTAATAAGTAGCTAGTATTTAATCCTCCCAACAATATGATAAATGAAATTGATTATTATTTTATAATGAAATATTATTTTATAAATGATTAAATAATATGGAGTTTAAAATATTTGTCCAAGGCCATATCACTCATATAATGCAGAAACGTCATTCAAACACATGTCTTTTGGACTCCAACTACCCAACACTTCACACTATTATGTTCAAAACAATGCATCCATAGGTTTGCTGAAAATATGTGAGATGCGTACTTACAAAAAAAAAGCAGCAATGTAGTTATGAAGGTGTAAGAACCAAAAATTTTAAGTGTTGCTCCCAAGAAATATGCTGGAAGAAAAAATCATTATCAAAGCCCAAGATGGTAACTCGTTATAGAAATAGTATTGTTGGCCAGGCACGGTGGCTCAAGCCTGTAATCCCAGCACTTTGGGAGGCCATGGAGGGCGGATCATGAGGTCAAGAGATCGATACCATCCTGGCCAACATGGTGAAACTCCGTCTCTACTAAAAATACAAAAAAAAAATAGCTTGGCGTAGTGGCGTGTGCCTCTAGTCCCAGCTACTCGGGAGGCTGAGGCAGGAGAATTGCTTGAACCTGGGAGGCGGAGGTTACAGTGAGCCAAGATTGTGCCACTGCACTCCAGCCTGGTGCCTGGCGACAGAGTGAGATTCTGTCTCAAAAAAAAAAAAGAAAAAAAGAAATAGTATTGTCACTTATAGACCTTAACACTATTGCACAATTATTTTAAAGATATAACCAGAAACTTGACTCTATACATCCATTCATATGGTAAGTTCTGAATATGCATAATTATGAGGCTGCAGATTCATCTTACATAAAAAATATAAAATGACAGTGATGACAACTAAAGAGAGAAACTATGAGTACATAACACACAATAAGAGACTTACCAAGTTTCCTATAGTAAGTACATTTTTGAATTCCTCAGTCATTGGGTGGTGTTCCATAGCCATAAATAATGTGTTTAAAACTATGCAAATGGTAATCGCAAGATCTACAAAAGGATCCATTACAATAAAATAGACACACTTTTTGAATTTTATCCAATGTGGAGAGCAATTCCAGATCAAGAATTTGTGTGCAAATCTGTACCACCAAGGTGGACATTTTTGTCTGGATTCTTCAAGTTCTGGGAGAAAAAAAAAAAAACAGAGGACATGGAGTTAGCCATTTGTATATTTTAATCCTAACCAGATACAAATCAGCCAGGCACTCTAATATTGAAACAAGGTTTGTGGTTTAGATTTTGAAAAACAGTATTGTTTCCATGAAAGCGTAGCCTCTTACATAAGTCTAGTATGACGTGTTCATTGCCTAAGCGTAAGTGAGGGGAAGAAAGTTAAATGAATTACTGAAAGCAGATATGTGGGCATCTTTCAGAGAAAAATGCACCTAACGTGATAGTAAAAAGGAGGACCAATGTCTCCTTAACAGAGAAATATATATTTTCCACCAATATACATATTTTTTGCCTCTGTTTGTAGTCCCATGACAACAATAAGACAAGACTACTCTATCCAGAAAAAACTCTTACTGTAACAGCTCACATATGAAAACAATCCTTGAACCAAGCGACTAGAAATAATTTATGGAGGACCCATGAAACAGACATTTCACACCAGTAGCCCATTTACTTCTTACCATTCATTTAAGGGATGGGTAGGCACTTTGTCTCATCCCATGATGGGAATGTTGGGGGTGAGGTGTTAGACCAGGGACTAGGTAGGACTGGGGCATATTGTCAGGGGAGAGAGTAGGAGTCAGCACAGTTTGTAAAGTTGTCACCCTTTGACTATCTTTACTTATTAGAAGAGACAAATTTTGAGTGAATAGGTAATTTGTAAGATTATATAGTGACGGAATCACATAGCTCTGTGTTAACCTTGTTTTCTGTATCAATTACCACTAAATTACTTATCTTTGAAAGGTCAAATCACCACCACCTGTTTTGTGTTTTGTGTTTTGCGTTTTTTTTTTTTTTTTTTTTTTTTTTNTTTTTTTTTTTTTTCGTTTTTGCAAAGTCATTTTGCCATGTTACCCATGCCTGTTTTTAATAGCAAATAACTTTATAACTTTATAAAATACATAAAAACAATGATATCAGTATCCATTGTTTATATTTACCATTGCTTAAAACCACTTTATAGTCTCTGAATTCTTCCTAAGAACTTCATGGGCCTATTTAAGGTTGACCTGATTTACGTTAATTTTATTTAAGAATCTATATGGTGAAAAGAAGATTATTACATACCTTCTACAGTGTTTGTTAATATGCTTGCTCTACTCATTGCTCTCTGTCTGATGTTGGGATCATTCAGCATATCTTCTGAAAGGAGATAAGAGCTACAACGCCTTTTTTTGTGTATTTGATTGGTTGTGCCCTAAAAAAGAAGTCAATTAATGTTTTAAGAACAGAATCCTAATAAATTGTAGGTATAGGATAAAATCTTTCTTATATAGCCATCATGAGTAATTAAAAGTAGAGACTAGATTGCTGGGTTCAAACTATGGCTCTGCTATTTACTGACTACATATAATAGGAGAGTTAATTAACTGTCTCAGTTTCATTATTAGTAAAATGGGATAGTCACAGTACTTGCTTCATATTCTTTTTATGAAAATTAAAGGACTTAATATTTAGGAGTAAAAAACAAAGCTGGCTGCTTTTTTTGTTATATCACTATCATCACCTCTCCATCTTTCTGGGTGTCCAACTTATTCAGATAGTTTTACCATGTAAGAGTCCTACATGAAAACAGTTAAAGTGCTATAGTGCTGTGTATCTAAAGGGGTAGAATCTCAGTATTCTCTGATACATTTCTGGAATTACTTTTTGTTAAGGGAACAACATTAATGAGGCTACTATAATGGTTGTTTCTTACTGCCAAGGAAGACTAATGAGCTGAGCCACATATATGATGATAAATGACTCAATTTAAAAATTATTATTAGTGAAATGGAGAATGCAAGCTACATCGGAAAGAGGTGACCTCTCTTCAGCTCTAGATATTGTTGCCATGCAAAAATATGAGCTCAAGCATAACCAGTGTATTTACTTTTGTGAGAAAATGTCTTATTTTTAAAACTTGACAACTAATTCAAATTTAAAACACTATATTTGTTCAGTGTGGGTTAGAAATAAACACACTTACACACACATGTATATACACAACTAGACAACTCCATATCTATTGTGTTTGCCAGCTTGTGTGTGGTATGTGGTATATATTTTAAATATATATATATATATATATATATA